CGTGTGAGCATGCGCGCGCCGCAGCCCCCGCCCCGGCCCCGCGCGCGCCGCGACTCCCTAGCGCGCGCCGCCGCCCTGTTGCTTCCGCCTCCCTGCGGGGCGGGAGGGCGCTGTCGTCGCCCCCGCGTGGCTCGTCGGATGCTGGTCCTTCCCACCCCCACCATTCACTCCTGTTCTGAAAAGGAAGCCTGGCTGTGAGCCCAGGACGCCATGGCGGGTACGGTGGGCCTGGGTCCCTGGGCCTGAGAGTCACACCTCCTGCCTTAGTGTGGACAGAAGACACAGGATCCTCAGGTGGCTACAGGGTGCAGACACCACCACCTCTTTTGGGACTGCCTCCCTTGGAGACCAAACGAAGCATGTCCTGATCCAGCTCTTGTGACTCACTACTTTCTACCTGCTGCTGGGGCCCGGTCTCTGTTCTGCCTTCCAGAAACCAGCCCTTTGACAAGACCCTCCGCAGTATCTGGTTTTACCTTGTGGTCCAGCCCCCTGCCGAGTGCTTCTCGCTTCTACCTTACAGCTACATCACTGTGGTTAGCACCCACCACCCCCCCAGTCCCAGGGAAGGTCGTTCTTTGCTACCTAGGTGTAAAGTGGCACACAGCTGTACAACCTTCCTTACCTCCGGCTCAGCCCCAATCTTAACTGACGTTTACTGGTTCCACATCCCTTGCTTTTGCTTCAGATAACTGTGGAACCAGACACTAGGGATCTGCGGCAGCCGATCAGAAGCACCAGACCTGGGGATTAGGAATGTATTTGACACCGTTCTGACGGAATATGGAGGAGATCTGGCATTCCTGTGATTTGGATTAGACACGGGTGGCAATGGTGCCAGTGACTAAACTGCCCTCCTGAGCCACCACGGCCTTCTGTCCTGCTCTCCACCTAAGTTCAACACCAGTGTAGCACCCACTACAGACACCCAGCCAGCCTCAGGGCAAAGTGTTTTCTCTCTGGCCTTCCTGGACTTGCTGTGAGCCTGGTGGTGATGGCAGACAGCTCTCACTGGTACTCCTAACTGTGGGGTACACTCTTGAGGACAGCAGGCCTCCAGCTAAGGACTAGCTGCTGGCCTCCGCACCGATAATCCTGTGGGCCTGACTGCGATGTTCATGTGTCTCTGGTGATGCTATCTCTTTCCTACCATGACCCCATACTGCTGGGCCAAACTGTAGGCTTCTGGTGGTCAATTACAACTGCAGTGGGTATTCCTGGCACAGACCTGTCTCAGGATGAAGCCTTTCTTTCATTAGATAGTGTCTGTTCTACTCAGAGCATGCTTCATTTCCTTCCTTCCTTTCTTTTTTCTTGCTTAGATTTTTTGAGACAGAATCTTCATCCTAGGCTGGCCTCAAACTCCATACAAACATCCTGCCTCAGCCTCTGAAATGTTGGGATACAGGAGTGAGTCCTCACGTCCAGCTTATTCTTCATATAGAGCAAAGCACTTCCCTAGTGTGCAACAGGAGTGAGTGACTTCATCCTCTGAGCCTTCACCCTCTGTGGGGCTCGGGACTCTCTGGCTCCCTCCAGCTGACACCATTCATTCTAGCAAGTGGCTGACTTGCTAACAAATACTGAGAGGAACTGCTGGGAAGTGAAGGTGTCCCTTGCTCTTCAGAAAGCATGTTTCCCTTTTAAGAATGGATGCCTGTTGTCTGAAGGTGATGCCTAATGCTTTGTAATGTCCTTTCAGACACCAGAGGACCAGAGGTGGTAGCCAGAGGAGCATATTCTTGCTGGGAACAGAAGCATGATCGAAGTGAGAAGAGCCTGGGGTATCATAGACCCATTAGCCCAACCTAACCAGAAACCAGCTAAAGAGTCAATGCAATACCAGGTGAGTTGGGTTTTCCATTACCAACAGATGTCAGCACTTTTCAAGCCCCACAAAAAAGAAGTTAGGACACGGTTAAAGCACTTTAACTTTGAGCCCCACAGGACGTGGTTAAAATAACAGAAACTCCAACCCATTCTGTTAGCCTGTTAGTCATTGCTGTGTAACAAGCCACTACCCATGCAGGATGCATTGAAGCAGTAAGGAGCCGGCATTGGCCAGGGCTCCTGGGCTTGGCAGGTTGTTCTGCCCTCCCTGGTGTTGGCTGGGAATCTCTAAGCTACTGTATTCTTTGGGAGTCTCTGCCAAGATAGGAATGTCACCCGACATTCCTCGCCGTAGCTCGAGTCACATGTGCAGTGTCCCCGAGGTGGGAACTGGAGATTGGGAGAGCAGGTTATTATTCTTTTCAGATGTCGTCTTACAACTCAGTGAGCTAGCCTGGGCTTCTTCACACGGCGGTTGGGTTTCTCAAGAGACAAAAATGAACACTACAGAACCATTAAAGGCTGAGTTCGGAGGCCTCAGAGCCTTCCCTCTGCCACAGTCTTCTGGAGAAACAGAGGCCTTCCGCCTTCCTCCACAAGGAGCACCAATAAGCCGTATTTCCCTGAGAGCCTCTGGCCACTTCAGCTGCTCTGCCCTAAGACAGCAACCCATATCCAACAGGAGGACATCTTATTTCCTGTGCCCCGTACAATCCCGTCCAGCTCCCCTGACCACTTGTCTGGAATCTTCTTCTTCTTCAGAATAAACTCTTATTTGATCATCTTTCTTTGGTAAATCCCCCTCCCCTCCACCTTTTTAGTCGCCTTTAGTTGCGGGTAATGGCTTTGCCCCTCATAGTCACTAAAGTCTTGTGGCACCAGTGAGTTCACGTACTCGTTTGCTCAAAGCAGCTTGTCTCACCCTCAGAGATGTCGATCACTTGGGGAAGTCTTTTAATGATGCTTGCCAGAGAAGGCTCTCTCTGTCCCAAACATTTCCCACCAGGGCTTTTTAAAGCTGCCAGTTAGAGCATGCTGAGCCCTGAGCTGGTGAAGAAGGTTTTGCTGGAGATGGCTACAGTCATCGATCTTCCACTCTGGCACAGCTAGGGATCTTGTATGGACAGGTTCTCGACAAATTGTGAAAAGATTAAATTACACCTAGACTGCCATTTCAGCCACTGAGCTTCAGCAGGAAGAACAAAGGGAGGCTGTGAGCATTGCCGATGAAAGAAAAGCTTACGGTGTACAGCCGTCCATCCAGGGGTCCCGTGACCGTGTAACACTGTGGACTGAGGTCCCAGGCTCAGTGTGCCCTTGAGATCATACTAGCAGCCAGGTTCTGCTACACTTCCCTGGAATGTACCTAGGAGGTATTTGTGGGTAATACTGGAGTTTATTCATTTATTCTGAGACAGGTTTTTATGACATAGCCCAGGGGCTTGGTTAGGGTTTCTACAGCTATGATTAAGCACTCTGACCAAAAATAGCTTGGGGAGGAAAGGGTTTATACTTTTACAACTCTCAGCTCACACTCCATCACTGAGGGAAGCCAGGGTACGACCTACAGGCAGGAACTGAAGCAGAGGCCTTGGAGGAGCACTGCCTACTGGCTTGCCCTCCATGCTTTGCTCAGCCTGCTTTTTGTACCATATAGTATGGCCTGACCAGGGGTGGCACTGCCCCCGTGGGTGGGGCCCTCCCTCATCAAGCATCAATCAAGAAAAAGCCTGACAGAGTTGCCTACAGGCCAGTTTCTCAGTTGAGATTCCCTCTTCCCAGGTACCCTTAGATTGACAAAATAACAATAATAATAATTATTAATAAATTAAATTTAAATTTAAAAAGCCTAGTACATCCAGACTAGTCCTAAATTTACAATCCACCTGCCTCTGCCTCCCAAGTCTTCCAAGACTTGTTGAGATTAAAAGTGTGCACCATAGCTGGCCATGAAGCTTTATAGTTTTATAAAACCAAGTCATAAACCCAGGCAAGTTTAAAACACATTGGTGAGTGCATTAGAAAGATAGTTGCAGCAAGATGGAGGAGCTTTTCTGTAGGCCTCAGATGCTATCTGATGCTGTGTTAGCTTTGGGTTGGTGGAATCTGGTGATCTGCTAAGTTAGTAGATTCTGAAAGGTGCTTATTTACCGCAGGATGTGTTAATTCTGACACAGAGGTGATCAAGGAAGGCCATTCAGGGAACTAAAGCTAGCTTAAGAACTGCCTTTGGGCCCCCAACATTCCAACCTCTCCCGTTGTTATACTTCTCAGCCCTGCAGATACAGCCCCATCCAGGAATTCTCCTTGATGAGTCTCTGAAGTTTTGCCTCCCCTACATGATGGGTCTTTCCTTCCTCAAGGATCAGAGGGGTCCCTGGTGCCTCCTGAGGCTCTGTTTACCCAAGTGGCTGCCTGCCCCCAAGTGAGACTTTTGGGGGTTCAGTTTGCTTCTCCTCATCTTATTTTCCTCTTATTTTTTGGAGAGCATGTAAAAGTATGCTAGGAATTCTTAATCTTTCTACATTCCCCTGTCTTGGCTTCTAAAAGATCAATGATTTTAATCCCAGTTTTCTTAAAAAAGAAAAGCAAAACCAAGTTCTGTGGTGTGTAAAATTAGCAATAAAGTAAACGAAAGCAATTTGTTGCACCTATTATTTGAATGGTAATTTTAATATAAACTGTTATTACTTGTCTGACAAGCTAAAT